CACAGACAGGACACAGGGTGGCAGGGCTGAGACAAAGGGGAACAGGGGAACGAATGGAGGCTGGGTGGGGGAGGGGTGGAATGACACAAGGAGCCTCCCTGGAGTCGGGACACTAGTGCAGGTCCAAGCCGCCAACGGGAGGGGAGGGCGGCCAGGGCCAAGATGATAAGGAGGGGTCAGGGTCCAGGTGTCCTGATGGTAAAGTCACTGAGATTTGCTGGCCTGTGAGATACAGGGGAGTCCCGAAGGAGCCCGCAGGCAACGGAGACCTGGAAACCAACGGAGATGCCATTTACTGAGACGAGGACCCAGGCAGGGGAGGCCCGCACAGCCGGAAGGTCAGTGGCCCTGAGGCTGATCCCGGGGAGCAGCGGGTGGCCTCGCCTGAAACCCCAGCGGCTGGGGAAGTGAGGCAGGAGGACCCCGCGTTCCAAGCCAGCCTCCGCAATTTAGGGAGACCCTGTCTCTAAATGAAATATAGAAAGCAGAGTCCTGGGGACGTGGCTTAGTGGAGAAGCGCCCCTGGGTTCAAGGAGAACAGCGGGGACTGGAGGACTCTGGGACTCGGTTTCTCTCCTGGATGTGGGAGAAGGTCATAAGGCCCATCATCAAGGACGGTGGCCAGGAAGAGGGGCAACTGGGTGCAGGGGATGCAGGACCCCTCACCCCCACCCCCGCCTGGAGCACAGACGCGCGCGCACACACACACACACACACACACACACACCAGCAAAGCCATCTGGAGATGGACTGTGACTCCTGCCCCGCACACAGGGAGCCCCACAAACGGATGCCAAGACGTTCACAAGTACAGCCCCAGTGTGGACACCTGTCCCACCCTACCCCTGGGGGAAAGGAGACGCGATCTCCCCTGTGACCTCAGTGCCGGGGCCCCTCTGTTACATGTTCTGCATTTGGGCCATCCTTTAATGAAAGCTATGTAATTTTTTTTTAATTAAACACAGAAAGCATGAATGCTCTGTTAACAAAATAAGGAGCATCATGGACAAAGCCCTGCCTTTAATAGTTTCCTCTGGCCACGCCCCCAGGCGTCCCGTCCTCCCCACCTGGAGAAACCAGCTCTGTCAGGCTGGCGCATACCCTTCCACACCTGTGTCCAAGCTTTTGAATGCACGAATATGAGCATACTGAAAATACACAACATTGCTGGACATAGTGGCGCACACCACACCAGCAACTGAGGAGGCTGAGGTAGAAGGATTGCAAGTTGGAGGCCAGCCTCAGCAACCTAGGGAGGCCCCTGTCTCAAAATAAAAATTTTTTTCAAAAGGGGCAGGGGGGGTTAGGGATGGGGCTCAGCAATACAGCACCCTTGGTGAATCGGGTACTTCAAAAAAAGAAAGAAGGGGCTGGGGATGTGGCTCAAGTGGTAGCGCGCTCGCCTGGCATGCGTGCGGCCCGGGTTCGATCCTCAGCACCACATGCAAAACAAAGATGTTGTGTCCACCGAGAACAAGAAATAAATATTAAAATTAAAAAAAAAGAAGGAAGGAAGAAGGAGGGGAGAGAAAGTGAATGAAAATACAGAATGTTGTTGAGTAGTTTTGTTGTTGTTGTTGTTTTATCATAAATCCCCAGAGACTTTCTGTCCCTTAGCAGGGTGCTTCAGCAACTGGGCTGAAATGTACACATCCACTTCCTGCTTTCTAATTTTTGCCCAGAAATCCTTTGGACAAAAGAGCTCCTGGTTTATTTTTCTACTTCCCCACTGAAGAGTCGACTGGGCTGGGGGTGCTCGGGACCCTGCCCACCACAAGCTGCTGCCCAGCGCGTTCCTGACCAAGTGCCTGACCTTAGCCACGGCTCAGACAGCTTATCTCCAGGAAGGAGGGGAGCCAGGGCCTCTGTGGGTTTCACAAGGCGGCTGTCAGTGGGGCAGGAGGGCCGGGGTACGTCCAGAGCCGTCCACACACTCTAATCTCCTTTGTTCCCGCTAATCTTGTTGGGAGGCAAAGCAGATCTGAGAGGCCCGAGGTCCCCGGCCAGCTAGATCGCAGCCGCCCGCTCTCCCAGGAGTCTGCCACCCATGTGCGTCTCAAACACACCACGTAGGGCCTGGGCTGGGGCTCAGTGGCACAGCGCTTGCCTGGCATGTGGGAGGCACTGGATTCGATTCTCAGCACCACATAAAAATAAATACAATAAAAGTCCATTGACAACTAAAAATATATATACATATATATATATGCCATGTACCTACTCAACCCCGTTGAGAAATGCAAATCAACTCATCAGATGAACCCCAAAAAAGAAGAAAAAGATAGTAAAAAAAATCTCTGGTTGGAGGGGAAGGGACACTCCCTCACCTATGTGTGAAAGAGAGATTTGCTAGTAACTATCACAACACCGACTGAGCACACACTGGGTCTAGAAGCTGCACTTGCAGAAATCCATGCTGTGGAGGGGTGCTGGATACACTCAGAGGTACGGACTCACCGACATGTAGCAGAGAAGATTATCAGTCAGCAGAGCAACAGGTGCCTGGCGCGGTGGGGCACCCCTGTAATCCCAGTGACTTGTGAGGCTGAGGCAGGAGGATCACAAATTAGAGGCCAGCCTCAGCAACTTAGCAAGGCCCTAGGCAACTTATCAAATCCCTGTCTCAAAATTTTAAAAAAGGACTAGGGTGTACCTCAGTAGTAGAGTGCCCCTGGGTTCAATCCCCAGCACCCAAAAAAAAAAAAAAATTAAAATTAAAAGAGGGAGAGAGAGAGAGAAAAACAGGACAACAAATATTCACCAATTCAAAGGAAAACGACACAGTGATACACATGTGATACACATGTTCCAACACAAGATACACATGTTCCAACAGGGAGAAATCCTGGAGTAATATTACTACATTGAAAGATGAATGGTAACATATTTACACAGAGCACAGTTGGATTTATGTATTAATGTGTGGACGTGTGTTTCTGATACACATAAAGGTCTAGGAGGATCCACTCCACAAAGAGTGGGAAGTAAAACAAGGGAACTATCTTTTTCCCCCATTTGAACTTTTTCTTCCCACCGTGCTCCACCAGACCCAGGGCAAGTGCTGAGCAAGGGCTCTGCGGCTCGGCTACACCCCCAGCCATGAGTTTTTATTTTTATAAGCAAGTATTCATGCTTTTGTCCATGAACTTTTTTAATCAACAAAAACAGCATTAACCAACAAAGAGCCGGACACAGGCTCCCATTCAGAGGCACATGGACATAGGAGGCCAAAGAAAACCCTGGCGGGCGCCTTCCCACCCTGGAGTCCCACCCTCAGCCTCTGAACACAGGCTTTCTTCTGCCACTCCAGCCCGGGCTGCTCAGAAGCCGACTTGGGCTGGGCGTGTCTCGCAGTCTTCCTGCCTTCACGCCACTCAGCCCCAAGCCAATCCTCAGGCCGGGGTGCGGGGAGGCTCTCCCCCAGCCCCGAGCCTGGAGCTCCGAGTTCCAGGACGGCTCAGGATGACGTGGTCCGCCTCTCTGCAAGCCCAGGGAACGGGAGGGAGTCTGGGGACGCACGCACGTGTGAGCACATAAACCCACTGACCTCCGTCACCCCATCCACAGCCTGAGAAAGAAAGCACCCTGATATGAGGGTCAGTCTCCCCCGGAATCCACCTATGCCGAGGCCCCCCAGCGAGACACAGGTGCCCTTGGCACGGCTCCAATGGCTCACACCCGGCGCACGACAGGCTCTCTCCAGGAGCGGGCAGCCTGGGCAGATGCTGTGACACAGGCGAGGTCCTGGCACTACAGAAACCACAGGCTGTCACTGAGATAAGCTTGGCTGGCCGCTACTCTGCAAATCAAAACAGAACACCCTGGAGCTGCCCAGGAGGAAGGGAAGGAGCTTTCCCGCCACCTCCAAGGTGACCTCACCTTTGACCAGGGCTTCTCTGCAAGCAGATTACAGGATGTCATGGGGCAAGACTGGAAAACCCAAAAAACACAGAAAAGAGGAAACAGCGGAGAGCACCACTGCTCTCCCAGAGACCCCGAGAGAAAGCAAACAGGGCTCCATCCTCCAGGCCTGCGGGGTCCCAAGAAGTGGCAGACACGTCTAAACAGATGTGTCCTTCCTTCCTGCTCGTGCTCTCTCACGCTCTACGCACCGGGCACGTCCCCATTCCTAAAGAAGCAGAGGAAGGGGGGAAAGACGTCCACTTGCCTGGCAACACCCTCCCTTCACCCCAGTTCAGGGTGGGCTGGGAGGCTCCGGAAAGGTGAGCCTCAGTTTCCTGCCTGGGCACTGCAGGCGCTGCCCAGTGGCCTCAAAGCTCTGAGGCACTTCTAATGTGACAGCTGCCATCTCTTGGCCCTTCACTCAGGCCAGCTCATTCAAACAGGCCGCCAGCCCGGGCAGAGTCTGTTGGTCTGAAGGCCAGCCACCGCCTCCTGTCCGCTGGTCTGAAGGCCAGCGACACCCAGTGTGTCTCCCTGGGTAAAAGGGCAACCACGTGTAAGGCTGGAATCAGGGGAGGCTCAGGCCGCCAGCACAGGGCTCGTGCCTGCCTCCGCCTGCATCTGGGGAGAAAAGCGGCTTAGCCCGCCTACCGAGCCGGGAAGGCAGCAGGGGGACAGGGCAGCCCTCGGCGCCTGAGCAGGGTCGCTCTGGGAGATTCCGGGCGGGGAAGGGTACCCTGCTGAGCACCTACTGTGGGCTGGGCACCCACGTGAGCCCCAGCAGCACATCCTGTCCTCGTGGGCGCTCGAGATACAGGCAAAGCGCAGCCCTAATGTCACCGGCACTGCACAGGCGGCGGTGGGCAGCTTCAGGCGGCACCGCGGGCAGCCTGGTCCTGCTCCTCACCCGTCCTGGGCCCCAGACCCCTGAGGCTGAGGTCAGGCCCCGAGTGGTCGGTTACCCAGGCCCCGTGCCTCCAGCAAAGACCCTGAGCGCCCGCGCCTGGGCCGTGAGGGTGTGGGGAGGTGGGCAGCTGCTGCCCCAAGGCCCTACTGCCCCGCGCTGGGCGGCCCGAGCCCCGGGCGCTCTCACCCACCTTGAGGACCTGCTGCCTGATGAGCGAGGGCACCACGACGATCATGACGGCGCCCAGCACGGCGCACAGCAGCCCCGTGACTCCCAGCGCCACGGCCGCCCAGCGCGTTCGGGAGCGGCCGCCCATGTCTGCGCGCCCAGGCGCCCGCCCGGGGGGACGGCGACGGGCCGACCAGGCGACAGAGGCGACGGGCGGGACTCCGAGCACGCAGGCGGCGGCGGCACGGAGGGCCCGGGACGGTGGCGCGCAGAGGAGCAGCCCGGCAGGTGGGCAGCGGTTTTATGCGCCATGGCCCGCCCCGGCCGCCCTGGGCGCTGGGATCCGGGAGGCTCCGCGGCGGGGGCGGGGCCTGTGGGGCGGGGGCTGGGGCTGGGCGGGGCGTGGATCGGACGCGGGGCGGGGCCGGGCACGCCCCCTGCCCGCCGGGCACGCCCCCTCCGGGCACGCCCCCGACCGCCTTGGCTCTAGTAGGGGCGCGCGGGCCAGCTGTCCCCGGGTGGTGGTCGCGCCAGGCGCCCCCTCGCTCCTTCCCCTTCTTCCTCCTCTTCCTCCTCGTCCCCTCCTCCTGCCATCGCTGTCATTGCTCACATTTAGCGGGAACGGACCGCCCGCCCGGGAGCACAGAGCTCTGAGATGGTCCCCACACCACCGCCACTTTCCGGAGCCCGCACCCCATGCACACGCCCAGCCTCACTGCCCCTACACCAGGCCCACTGGGGAGCTGACCCCGGCCTCGGAGCCTTTGTGCACCCTTTCATCGGAATCGTGTCCCTAGACACCCGCCTGTTCGAAGCACCTTATCAGAAAGGTCTTGCCGCGCGCCTGTGCAGCACAGCGCCCACCCTTATCGGCCAGCACCACCCGCGTGTAATCTTTTGCTTCTCCGCCTGCTGACCGTGTGCCCACCTAGAACTCCAGCCCCCTGGAGACGGCGCTAGTAACCCCGCCCCACCAAGTGCCTAGCTCGGGGCACTGCCCTGCGGGAGAATGTCCCACAAAAGCCCTGCAGAGTGAACCCGGAGGCTTCTCCAGCCCTCTGCGCAGAGCAGGGACAAGCTCCGTGTCACAGAGGAAACTGAGGCGCCCAGTGCCACTCGGAAAGCCAGGGGAGCAGGGCATCGGATGAATGTGGGCAGTTCCCCAAAGTCCTTAATTAACAGTTATTTAACCAAGTGACTAGTTGGTCAGTGCCCCCAAGGAAACAAAATTGTGCCCAACAACTGTCTGGGGCAGAGTGGTGCAGAGTGGCGGCTGCCCCCAGATGGAGAGGTCCCTCCACGGCCCTCATTGGCCTGCACCCTGCTGACCATGAGTGTGGGGTCCTTCATGTAGGTCAGTCCCTCGTTTTCTGGGTGGGATTACTAAGAAGGCAAGACTCTGAGTTAGGGTCGTGTCCCCTGGCTAAGGCAGGCCCAGTCCTCAATGGAAAGCTCAGGGACGAGGCCTTGTGCAGCTCAGGCCACCCTGGAGACAGCCCCTAGGCAGCCTGTCCTGGCCCAAGACAGCACTTCTTGAGCACCTACTATACCCTGGCCTTGCCTGCAGACCTGATGTGTATAGTGCCCCAAGAGGGCCACCCCAACTTACACCAGGGGGCTGGGGACAGGGCCAGGCTGTGGCATCCGTCAGATGGGGGCAGGCTCAGAGAAACTTGTATTCTGAGGTTTCCCACCCCAGAGTCCTGGGCCCTCCCTGTCTCCAGTTTCCTCCTCAGTACAATGGGGACGGTGGAGGTGCTTTCCAAGGACGGTCATGCTGAAGATCTGAGACCCTGCTCAGAACGGTGTCAGGAATGTGTGGGAGCATCATTGAGACCCCACATCACCTGGCTCCTGCTCCCTCTCTGCCTCACCTCCTGCCCTCTCCCCTTGTCCACCCCACCCCAGCCTGGCCACTCTCGCCTCTAGAACACTCCCCTGCGCCCCTCCCAGGCTAACTGTCCTCCTCCCAGAAGCTTCAGGGTGGACTCTCTTGGAACTGGGAGTCCCCACCGCCTCCAGCAAATACCCGCTTCTGTCTGAAAGGTCTCACTTATCTCCTCAGAGAAGCCGTTCTTTTTTGCCACCAGTGTCAGCCCCTGGAACACCACCGGCGGCGTGGGCCCCTCAGGTCTCCTTGAATACTCGAAGACTCAATTAATTAACTTTTAATTAATCAAGTAACCATTGATTAATTAATTAAAATAACTCTCATCGAACTCCAAGGTCTTCCGCAGCCTTCCACCACGGGGGCTGCTTTATTCCCAGTGACGTCTGTGATTGCTGGGAACTGGCCAGCCAGCTGAGCGGCCGCCGGCCACCGACTCCCTCCTTTCCCTGATACCGACTCACCTTGACCCCACCACCCAGGCCAACTTCTGCGTATCATCAAGTCTTCAAGGACCAAATGTACGTGGCGCTTACCTAAGAAAACCCAAGGCCAGGGCCAGAGTGACCTGGCACCCCATGGTGCTGTCACTTCACCAGAAAGATGGGCAGAGATGAAAGGGTGTCAGACACGCGTGACCAGCCGAGGCCTTGAGGAGGAGCTTGGGTTTGGGCGGCAGGGAGGGCGGCCTAGGAAGGGAGAAGGCGGAGAGAAGCCCTGAGGAGAGACAGGGCCCTCAGCACAGGAGGGTGAAGCCCAACCCTGCTGGCCCGGGGACAGACCAAGTGATTGGAACTGAAGGCGGGTTCCACCTCCACACAGTGTCAGAACAGGCAGGCTGTAAGAGAACATGGACTCGTGGTTGCCAGGGGCTCAGGTGAATGCAGGGTGACGATTCATGGGTCACAGTGTCCCTTTTTGGTGTGGTGACAATGTTCTAAAATTGATGGTAGTGCTGGATGTGGTGGCACATGCCTGTAATCCCAACGACTCAGAAGGCCAAGGCAGGAGGATCGAAAGTTTGAGCAGTCTGGGCAACTTAGTGAGACCCTGTGTCAAAATAAAATAGAATAGGGCTGGGGAAGTGATTCAGTGGGACAGCATCCCTGGTTGGATCCCCAGGAACACTATAAAATAAAAGCAAAGTGATTGTGGTAATGGTATTCGACTATGAATATACTAAAAGCCATTGGGGTTTGTGGTTACGGCTCAGTGGCAGAGCGCTTGCTTAGCATGTAGGAGGCAATGGGTTCCATCCTCAGGACCATATAAAAATAAAGGTATTTAAAAAACACAAAAACATAATAAAAATATTTTTAAAAGCCATTGACTTGTAAACTTTAAATGGGTGGATTTATGACATGCACTTTGTATCTCAACAAAGACTTATTTAAAAAAAAAAAAAGAAGAAGAAGAAGAAGAATTTTGCCATGGCTCCCACCTCACTCAGAATCAAAGCCATGGTCCTCACCAAGGCCACCATGTCAACACCATCACCCTGACTTCACCTTCCCCTCGGCCCCACTCTGCTCCAGCCCCACCCAAACTGGGAGCTCCTCAACCTGCAGCCTGCCCCTGCCTCGGGCCTTTACACTTATGCTCCCACAACAGGAAGCTCATCTCTCCAGAGCCCGAGATTCCCTCCCTCCAAGCTCTTGCTCAAATGTCACCTTATCAAAGACATCTCGCTTCCTATCCGCCCTTTCAAAATCACAGGCCACCCCCACCCTGCCCATCTGTCTCCCTCCTGCTGTTTCTCCATAGCACCCGCCACGTCCAACATGCCACACCACACGCAGACTGATTTGTTTCACCGAGTCTCCTCCTTTCCTCCTCTAGAGTGACAAAAGGTTAAAGGAACAGGAATCTGTTCTGTACATTCCTGTGCCCCACTCCTAGAATGGTGCAGGGCAGACAGGAGGTCCTCGGAGCCGTGGCTAGGAACTGCCCACAGCCGGGGAGCCTAGCTGCCCAGTGTGGTGGCCCAGGGCAAGCTGCGTACCCTCTCGGTGCCCAGTGGGGACCATCCAAGCTGCACTGCCCTGGGGTCACCACGAGGATGGAGTGCGGGGGAAGGAGCTCACCCTTGCTTCTGGATTCACGCAGCCTGGATTGCTTGCGCACCTACTGTGTGGTGGTTCCCCGGCCCGTGATCAGGTCTTGCACACAGCAGACTTGAGATGGTGCTGATGAGACACAGCAGTTGATTCCTTTAGAGAGAAGGCGGGGGTTTAGGCGAGCTGGCCCAGGAGGGCCTCAGAGCCCCTGCTCATACCCCGTCCCCACGCAGAGTGCCACAGCACCCCCTTTAGCTCTCCGAGTCTGGACAGTGAACTACAGGGTCCCCTCTCCTCTTGGGGCCGTGGGGCGGTGCTCGGCCAAGGAGCCACCTTGGAACACTGATACCATTGTCTGGTGGGCCACAGGACAATATCCACTCGCTCCAGAGGCGATGCTGGAGTACGCAGGGGAGAAGGACCACCCGGATGGAGCCTGCTTCCAAACGAGTCACAAAAGAGAAAAAGAGGACGAGAGACGGTGACAAGTAGAGAAATACAAGAAAGGCTTGTTGTCGGGTCTGAAAAATGGGTCCTGGAGAGAGCAAGCTCACAGGGGATTTCCTCTACTTTTGTGTTTGTTTGTTTCTTTTTTTTTTTTTTAAGAGAGAGGGAGAGAGAGATTTAGTATTTATTTTTTAGTTTTCGGCGGACACAACATCTTTGTTTGTATGTGGTGCTGAGGATCAAACCCGGGCTGCACGCATGCCAGGCGAGTGCGCTACCACTTGAGCCACATCCCCAGCCCCTTCTTTTCTTTTCTTTAATAATAAACTGCGACCCTCTGGCTGCTGTTCAGGAGTCAGGCTTAAAAGCGGAGGCGCCGCCTTCCTGGGGAGCTGGGTCGCGTGATTGGTTAGGGGGACCAGGAGGAACTGGACAGATTGAACAGAGCAAAGTGGCACAGGCTGGAGGGGAGGGACATGGGGTCCGTGGTGGGCAGGGCATCGGGACCCCAGTCTCCAGGAGAGCCGACCACACCTGACCGCTGGGGTTCACGTTGGCAAACACACCCCCAGGAGGATTCTAGAAGGGCCTGAGAGTGAGAGGACATTCAAGGATGGGCCCAGAATCACCGTCCAGTCCCCCGTCCTGCGCTGCTCCCCAGGAAGCTGACCTGCAGCTGGCTCCCCACAGAAGAACTGCCCCCAGCGCGTAGATGAGACGCCCCGAGTGGCACCGTGACCCTTTCCACCAACCACAGGTGGTAGAAGGGACACTACGTGACCTCAAGAAACCAGTGGCTTCTCTCAGCCCTGGATCCGTCTTTGACTAAGCCACTGGCATGTGGGGAACCCGGCCACGGGGCAGAGCTGGGCCCTCAGAGCCCCGCTGCCACCTGTGCCCAAGTGAGGCCCATTTGGTACCCTCCTGCCACCTTAGCATCCCAGCCACTATGACAAGACAGAACTGCCTGTTTGACCCCCAGAATCCTGAGGAACACCACGTCCCTTCTGGGACAGTGCCACCCGCCACTGCCTCAACCTTCATAGGGAGCCCTGGACCCTCTGGTCTCCAGTTCCCAGGTGCTGTCCACTTCCTGCCCAGAAGCTGACATGCCCAGGAGCTGGGGCGAGGAACAGGAGGGGGGAACAGGAGGAGGGGACAGGAGGAGAGGACAGGAGGCTGGGGGCTGGGGGCTGGGGGCTGGGGGTTGGAGGCTGGTGGCTGGAGGCAGGGAGGGTGCCATGGGATGGAAGCTTGCGGGTGACTAGGAGCAGACCAGGAGATGGTGAGTGGGGTTCAGGCCTCCACGACCCCCTGTAAATGGTCCAGAACCTTCCTTAGAGGGCCAGGGTGCCAGTGATGGGGGTGCCAGGGCAAGGTGGGCCAGGGTGGGCGTCTCAGGGACCCCAGGGCTCCCTGAGCATAGGGGGATGTCAAGAGACCCTCCTTAGTCACCCCGTCACTTCCTGGCCCTCACTGTCCTGGGCACATCTCTGGGGGGGGCCCTCGTCGCCTGGGAGCTGTGTGGGGCCGCCCACTGCACAAGGGGAAAGCAATGCCCATGGGCAGCAGCCACCCCCTGGCTGCTGTGAGACACTGCCCCAGCCTGTTGGACCCTCAGAGGGGACAGTGGGGGCGGGCACGCGGGGGCCTCCTGTGGGCAGACCTCCAAGGCTGAGCCTCCCCACTGACCATCAGAGAAACACAAAGAGCCTCCACGACCCCCTCGCTCCCATGAGGACGGCTTCCGGACAAATGCAAAGACAGCGAGCCCTGGCCAGGGCCCAGAGACCTCGCCGAGCCGACGGAAAGGGCAGAGGAGCAGTTGCGGCGGACAGGGTGGCTTTTCTCTGAAAATCCAAAACAAGTCAGGTTGGGCGTGGCGGCCACGCCTGTCATCCCAGCGGCTTGGGAGGCTGAGGCAGGAGAATCTCAAGTTTAAAGTCAGCCTGAGCAATGGCCAGGTGCTAAGCAACTTAGTGAGACCCTGTCTCTAAATAAAACTACAAAATGGGACTGGGGAGGTGGCTCAGTGGTCTGGTGCTCCCGAGTACAATCCCTGGTGCTAAATAAATAAATAAATAAAACGGGTCAGGTGTGGTGGCTCACGCCTATGATCCCAGCAATTTGGGAGGCTGAAGCAGGAGGATTGCAAGTTTGAGAGCAGCCCTGGCAAACTGGCCAGACCCTGTGTAGAAAGGGCTGGGGGTGTGGCTAAGTGGCAAACCGCTCCTGGGTTCAATTCCCAGGACCAATAGAGAAATAAATAAGAGCAGAACTACCAGCCGACCCAGAGAGTCCCCTGGTGGGAACGTACCTAGAGGGATCGAGGGCAGGACCGGAAACAGGCCTCCGACACCAGGTTTCCCAGCAGCCGGTGGGAGCAAGCCTCGTACCCATCCACGGACAAGGAGTGCAGACAAGAGCCGAGGTTGTCCACGCAGATCCTCGTCCAGCCCAGGGAACCCGAGGACAGCAGGCTCTGATGTAGCCAGTCATCGAGGGAGGTCCCCAGAGCAGAGAGGTCACAGGCAGAGAGGAGATGCTGGGCCCCGGGTGGGGGTGGGGGTGTCCTGGGCACAGGCTGCGTTTCTGCAGGGAGAGTAGCTCTGGATGGACGGTGGTGATGGCTACCTGACTGTGAGAATGTGCCCAGTGTCACCTGAAGGGGGTGAAAACGGAAAAAGCAGACCACTGACAAAAGCCTACGCCCGACGGGGATCTGGGCCTGCAGTGGAGAGCCAGGAAGGAGCCAGGGCTGGGGAGGACAAGCGGAGAGCCCTCTGCCCCCCAGCTCAGGCCGCAGGGCCAGAGGCCTCCATGGGAGCCTGGGCTCTCCAAAACTGTCCCCAGGCCCACAAGGAGCCCAGGCAGCTGTGACAGAGGAGGCCCTGTCAGCTTCCCTAAGCAGCTCAGGGCCCTGGAGAAAAGGCGCCAGGCAGGGCAGGGAGGAGGCCGAGTGGGGAGCAGAGGCCGAGGAGGGGGCGGCCTCCCTGGCTCCCAGCACCCCTGGAAGGGGGCGGGAGGGTCTCGCTCTATGAGGGAGCCTGGGATCTGCACAAGTGGCTCAAGGCCTCCGGCCCTGGTACCTGCTCTGGTCACCAGGTGCTCCCCCAGCCCGGGTGCTCCTCTGTGGCCTGAGAATACGCGTGAACCACAGCTGGACCGTGGCGAGCCCCTCGGGCACCGCCAGGAGAGCTGGACAACAGTGCAGCCCACTCACAGTCTGACACCATGGCCCTAACGCTCACCCTGTCGGTGATGAAAACGTCCCTGGAACAGCGTCCCTTGGTCTAAGTACCACGGCAGCGAGGCCCGCAGGCTGCACCTGGCCGGGCCGTGAGCCGGTGAGTGGAGCTTTATTGGCGCCTGCGCGTTCCCGAGCCCCCTTCCTAGCAGCCTCCCTGCTGCGGTGACAGCGCCCGGTGGCCGCAGCCGAGACCCCCGCCCAGGAAGCCCAGCGTGTGAATGACCTGGCACGTTCCAGGGGAGGAGCCGGACACCATGGCAGGGACTGTGGTCACTCAGCTTTAACAAGGGCGTCCCAGGGGCCCTCGCCCATGGCCTCCAGAGGCCCACGGGAGCATCGTGACTGCCCAGGGACCGAGTCGCTTTGTTTTTCTTTTCTTCCTTTTCCTTATTTGTTATTTTATTCTTTGGAGAAGTGGGGACCGCTCCCGGCCCGTCCTCTCCCCGCTCCTTTCCGGAAGGCAGAGGGTCCACCCTCCTCCCAGCAGCCACCGATGCTTGGAAAAGGGGTCCCTGAGCCCGCACTGGAGCATCCCGCTTGCTCCCAGTCAACCTGGGCAACAAGGTCCCCCTTGCTGTGGATTGGGTGAGGGGGACACATGTCACCAAGTTCTGGCAGTGTGCTGGGGCCAGGCAGTGTGGAGGGTTCCCACATCTAAAGAGAACTCAAGGTCGAGCTCCTGCCCTGGTGGTGGGCGCTGGTGGGCCCTGGCTGCCTGCAACCATAGGTGAGGACAAACGATGTCTTCCTTGCTAAACCTCTGGGTTGATTCTTTTTTTTTTTTTCTTTTGAGAAAGATCAATAAGTGGGATGCTACCTTGCTCAGGGCCTCAATAAGTTGCTGAGGTTGGCCTCAAACGTGATCCTCCTGCCTCAGCCTCCCAAGTCTGTGGGATCACAGGTGTGTGCCACCGTGCCTGCTGGTGCTTTCTAGTACTTTAAACCAAAGCAACCCCACAGGTACAGATATAAAACCCTCTGGTGGGCTGGGGATGTGGCTCAAGCGGTAGCGCGCTCGCCTGGCATGCACGTGGCCCGGGTTCGATCCTCAGCACCACATAGAAACAAAGATGTTGTGTCTGCCGAAAACTAAAAAATAAATATTAAAATTCTCTCTCTCTCTCTCTCTTTAAAAAAAAAAAAAAAAAAACCCTCTGGCCAGCAGCCAGCAGCCACAATCAACAGCCATACTGATCGATTCACTTGGTAATTATTTACAGAGACCTTCTATATGTCCAGACAGATCTGGGCAATGGAAGGCATGAGGGACGCTGGCCTTTCTTTTATAGGCGTGCGCTGCAGAGGCTGCAGAGAGACTCAAAAGCGAGTCCACAAACAAGCAAACAGGTTTTTCTTTTTTTTTTTCAGTGCTGGCTTTTGGACCCAGGGCCTCGTGCATGCAAAGCTGCACCCCACCCCCCAACAGCCTAATTTCAGATAGTCATCCCTTGGAGTCCACAGCAATTGGCTCCAGGACCTCCGCCCATGCCAAATTCCAAGGATAATTAGGTCCCTTGTATAAGATGATGTCATGTTTACCTGTAATCAACACGAACCCTCCCCTACACTTGAGATCCTCTCTAGATGACTTGTAAGGCCTAACACAGTGTAAATGAGCCAACAGTTGCTGTAGTGCCTTGTCTGGGGAACGGTGACAGAGTCTGCACATTCACATATTAACATCATATTTTTAAATATCTCCCATGCACCGTTGGTCAACGTGCGGATGTGAGATCCGCAGATACAGAGCCGACTAATGTGTTAAATGGCGAGAAAGAAACAAAATAGAGTGGTTAGGAGGACAGTGGAGGAGGGTGGCCCTTCCCGGGGGAGGTGACATTGAAGAGAGAGCTGGATGAAATGGGGTGGGCATTCCAAGTGGTGAGCATGGCATGTGCAAAGACCCTGTGGTCGGCCTGAACTTTGGTTGTTCAAGGAACTGAAATGTGGACTGTGACATGGCTTAGTTGTGATGGTGGCTTTCAAGAAAGTGTCTAAAAGTGAACAAAAAGCCCGCAGTCTGAGTCCCTCTCCTCCCTCCCTTTTTGTTTGGACTTCTGTTCCCAGGACCAGAGTTTACGAGCTCAGGTTTGTTGGAGGCTGAGCTGGGTTTTCAGGCTCCAGGTTCTCTCCCCGTGTGTGGGCCTGCCACACTCCAGCCTGTCCCAGGGAAGCCAGGTCTCTGGGCTCCAGCCTGACAGCGTTTCAGCAAGTCCCGATCTGCCCTGCCGATCTCCCTACCAGAGGGTGTTTCCTTCCTGCCCAGAACACTGGCCTCCTCACCAGCACCCTCCTCCCCGCCCAACCGAGCTGCAGAGGCCCCGGGGCTCTGTCAACAACAGCAGGGTGGAGGGCAGCCCGACCTGGCCTGCGCCTGGCAGGCACCTCTGGGAAGCCAGCCCGTGCCCAGAGCCCTTTAGGTGAGAAACTGCTCTTCAAGACCCACCCCAGGCCAGCAGCTCCCTGGGGCTCTCTCCCCAGGGGGCATCCTCCAGCCGGGCGTCCAGCACCCATGCAGAAGCAGTGTCCAGGATGCTCAGGGGCACACAGTGGGCAGGGACACCTGCCTGGGCACAGCTGGAGGCTCCTGCCTGGGAAGGGGGGTGGACAGGGCCCTTCACTGGACGGTGCAGACTGAACGCTCCCTATGGGGGGGACACAGGGGCACTAGCTGTGCCTCACACAGGTCACAGACCTGTGCAGACCAAGATATTGTTGTCACACCAACAGGTCTCTAATGACACCTGAGAAAAATGCTTCCAGGTATGGGACCCGCTCTGTGAAGGCCCGTTTTGGAGGCTGCACAGCGCAGCTGGTCGAGGCCAAGGGGTTGCGTTCCTTCCTGCTTCAGCACTCCGCAGGTTCCCGCAGGGCAGGAATAGAAGCTGGACCCCTGGGCCCACCTCCAGTCCTCCTCCACGGCTGCCCAGGAGGCAGCCCCCCCTGAGTTTTTGTGGATCTTCCCTCCTGCTCCCCTTGTGCCACCCCAGAACCTAAGCATGTGCGGTGCTCCCTGTTTTAAATATTCCCTGTATTAAAAAGTCTCAGTCTCCACAGCAGCTTCTTTGAGTCTCACCTCCAATGTCACCTTCTCAGTGAGACCTCCCTGAGCAGCCCATGAAAGTAATACCTTTTAAGCAAGGTGCAGTGGCACACGCCTGTGATCTCAGCAGCTCCGGAGGCTGAGGCAGGAGGCTCGCCAATTCAAAGCCAGCCTCAACAGTCAGAGGGAGGGAGAAGAGGAACTCAGACTGTGGGCCTCAGCAACTTAGTGGGAACCTGTCTCGAAATAAGACGTGCATCTTGGTGGTGGAGCACCCTGGGCTCCGACTCAGTACCTAGAAAGCTAAATGAGATAAAAAAGCGCTCTTGGGGGGCTGGGGTTGTGGCTCAGTCGTAGTGTGCTTGTCTAGCATGCACGAGGCACTGAGTTCGATTCTCAGCACCACATACAAATAAATAAATAAATGTCCATCAACAACTAAAAAATATTAAAAAAAAAAAAGCACCCTTGGTCATGCGCTTCAGTTTGGTTTTGGTGGTGCCCGTGCAGAGCATGCTTTGCGAGGGTGGACACCTGGCTGGCCTTCCCCGCGGGGTCCCCAGAACAACGCAGGGCCCACGATGGGTGTGAGGGAGAGGTTGGCGTGAGGGAGTGAGCAGGGAGGACCGGGGCCACAGCAGGCTTTCGGAACAGGATGGCAAGAGGTGTGGGGCTCTGACCTCCCTCCAGAGCCCCCAGGGCCATGGAAAGGCCACCCTCAAAGAGCCCGGGCAGTGTTTGGTGTCCTCTACAACCCTCCCGCAGCCTCCCACTACCCGCAGGCCTGGGGCCTGGCTGTCCTCCCAAGTGTTCTCAGGACCAGCTATACCAGGCTGTGTGGGGACAGGACAGAAATGCAGTCTCTGGTCCTCACCCACTCCATGAGTCACACTCAGGAGAGGCCTGCCTTTTCGCAAGCCCTCCAGGGGATTCTGGGGCTGGCTCCTGCACAACAGGACAGGCTGACTATCCCTGACGCCCTCCTTCCCTTGAGGCCACTGAGATCTACAGTAACTTCAGGTGGCCCTGGGTCCTTGAACTTGGCATCCAGGTGTCACCTGAGCTGGAGTTGGTGTGATGCCGGGTTCTGAGAGTGAGGACAGACAGGACCTGGGGCCCCTGGTGCCCTCCCGACTCCCCGGCCCCCACAGGAAGCCAGCTGTCTCCAGGTGAGCAGGAGTCTATTTCAGCAACCTGTTTACCAGTCCAAAATCTCAGGATAAGGTTCCTGAAATCCTAGCCCAGGGCACTCCCAGCTGGGTTATCCTGTGACAATGGCCGCAGGCGGGTTCGTCTTCTCCTGTTCCACATCCAGTCCCCACTGATCACTCAGATTGCACTTGGCGGTTTTCACTTCTCCCGTCAATTGTGGGCAGAGTGTGGCCCCACCCCTGCCAAGGAAAAAAAAAATCCATGCCAGATCCCAGCTCCAGATACCAGTGAACCTGACCTAGGCCCCAGTACCAGTGAACCTGACCTAGCCCCAGTACCAGTGAACCTGACCTAGCCCCAGTACCAGTGAACCTGACCTAGGCCCCAGTACCAGTGAACCTGACCTAGCCCAAGTACCAGTGAACTTAACCTAGGCCCTAGGACCAGTGAACCTGAGCCAGCCCCTGGTACCAGTGAACTTGACCTAGCCCCATACCAGTGAACTTGACCTAGCCCTGGTACCAGTGAACCTGACCTAGCTCCCTGGTTCTAGTGAAATAGACCTAGCCCCGGTACCAGAGAACTTGACCTAGGCCCAGGTACCAGTGAACTTCACCTAGGCCCAGGTACCAGTGAACTTCACCTAGCCCCGGTACCAGTGAACTTGACCCAGCCTCTGGTACCAGTGAACTTGACCTAGCCCCTGGTACCAGTGTACTTGACCTAGCCCCAGTACAAGTGAACTTGACCTAGCCCCTGGTACCAGTGAACCTGACCTAGTCCCGGTACCAGTGAACTTGATCCAGCCCTTGGTACCAGTGAACTTGACTTATCCCCAGTACCAGTGAACCTGACCCAGTCCCCGGTACCAGTGAACTTGACCTAGCTCCCTGGTACCAGTGAATTTGACCTAGACCTAGTACCAGTGAACTTGACCCAGCCCCCGGTACCAGTGAACTTGACCTAGCCCCTGGTCCAGTGAACTTGACCCAGGACCAGTACCAGTGAACCTGACCTTATTTGGAAGTAGGGTCTTTGCAGATGGGATGAAGTTGAGGAGATCACTCTGGATTGTGGTGGCCCTGATCCAAAAAGTGACGTTCTTACAAGAGCAAGGAAATCTCTGTGACCAAAGCAGGGGCCGGGGGTCTCTGGAGGCAGAGGAGGACTCAGCTAGAGAAAGAGGAGTAGCCCCCTGGGCTGAGCAGGCAGGAGGGCCTCCCTGGGCCCTCAGCGCCTGGCCCTGCACACACCTTGGCTCCTGACTTCTGGCCTCCAGAACCTTGAGAGTTAGGCTACATTAGGTAACAGCGTGTGGTCCTTTGACATGTCACCCTGGCCCCAGGCACCCTCCCACCCTCAGTGGGCCCGCCCCATGCCTTCCTTTACTCCAGGGTTTCCACAGGGGCGGGTGCACGTGCAGCCACAGCCCCAGAGAGACCTGGTGAACCCAAGTGGCCCAGCCACAGCGCCTGCCTCAGGTCAGATGGCCCAGAGTTTTGCATTCCTTTTCTTTTCCTTTTTTTTTTTTTTGGCACTGAGGATTGAGCCCAGTTGTGCTCAGCCACTGAGCCTCATCCCAGCCCTTTTTTATTTTTTATTCAGAGACAGGGTCTCACTGAGTTGCTTAGGGCCCCACCAAGTTGCTGAGGCTGGCTTTGAACTCTCGATCCTCCTGCCTCAGCCTCCCGAACCATGGGATTACAGGTGTGCTCTACTGCACTCAGCATAGTTTCACATTTCCAACAAATTCCCAGGGGACACAGCTGCTGCTGGTCCAGGGACCGCACTTTGAGAACCACTGCTCCAGGCCACACCCTGCTCCCTTTAGGACAGTGCCACTGGTCTAAATCCTCCCTCTGCCTGCAGGTGAGAGTCCTAAAGCTCACCAGAGATGCTCCTGAGGGCAGCAGCTGGGGGACCCCCACGCACCTGCACAAGCCCCCCGCTCACCTAGCCCTGGTACATGTGAACTTGACCCAGGGGCAGCTGCGGGTGCCCACCATGCACACCCCCGCCCCAGGGCACAGGAAGAAAGGGAGAGAGAGGCTACGAGAATCACATTTGTTGAATTTATCAAGTGATCGTGGACGGATGTGGTATTTCTTTGCGGGTGCTGTCATAGAAGTGCCACCAACTGTGGCTAAAGACATCAGCAACCTTGTTCCTTCACAGCTCTGGAGGCCAAGTCCAAAATCAGGCTGTCTGCAGGGACAAGGAAGGTCCTTCCTGGGGCTGGGGATGTGGCTCAAGTGGTAGCGCGCTCGCCTGGCATGCGTGCTGCCCGGGTTCGATCCTCAGCACCACATACAAACAAAGATGTTCTGTCCGCCGAAAACTAAAAAATAAATATTAAAAATTCTCTCTCTCTCTCTTTAAAAAAAAAAAAAAAAGGAAGCTCCTTCCCTCGTCTCCCAATTCCTGGGGCCCCGTGCTGTCTCCCACCGCCCTCCCTCTGTGCCTCTCTGTTCACAAGGTGTGGCCCCTCTTAGGAGGACGCAGTCTCGGGGCCCTCAGGCCCACCCTTTTTCCAAATGGAGTCACCCTTTGGGGTATTTGGGGTTAAGGCTTCAATACCCCGGGGGACTCCAGCAGACCATGACAGATATGGATCATAAATGTTAATATTTATTTTAGCTTTACCTGGGCCGGGTGCCCTGCAGTGCCTACACCTCAGCTCACTGAGTCCCTGTGCTCACCTCTGACATCAGGAGCAATGCTAACTCTGCTCTTCAGATGAAGAAACTGAGGCACAGACAAGTAAAGGGATTTGTCCAAGGTCACACAGCCGGGGACTGACCCAGCCCAGATTTGACCCTGAGGTGGGAGAACCTGGAACATGGTCCTAACAGAAAGGTATCTTTGATGGAAGAAGGTCCCCTTTCTTGGTCCCTCACTGTCACCACCTGTTCTGCTCTTACCCGTCTGTGGTGCTGGGGAGGGAAACCAGGGCCTCGCTAGCCAGGCAAGCTCCACCCCAGAACCGCACTGGCCCTGGTAGTTCATGCTTTCCAAAGCCTCGGAGGAAGTCGTCCACCTGCCTCTGCCCAGGTGCTGCATTGTGGGGCCGTGTGACCTCCATCCTAGAGGGGCTCCAGAGCCTGTCAGAGCTCAAGACCTCCCCCCGCCCGGGGCCCCCAGCAGCCGCCTGCCCAGAGGCCTGTGGTCATCCGTCTCCCAGCCACACAGACACGTGCTGGTCAGCAGGTGTTATGGCAGATGAAAGCCAGGCCCCCCCCAGGACGTGATGATACCTCGTGATACGTTATCGTGGCAATGAGATCTGAAACCACAAGTGAACACTCAAAGTGCACAGATGTGGACACACAGTGAGGCCACATCCTGGGGACCCTGTCACAACTTGGAAGTGCTCTAAAGCCTCCTGACCTGCCCCACAGCCCAGCCCAGGAGGGCTCGCTATGCACCCCGTGAGGCTGGGAAAGAGCAAATGCAAACTCAAAGTACAGTCTCTGTTGAACTGTGTCCTCGCGCACCATCCTAAGGTGGAAGGGTCGTCACGGAAGCCGGGACTGTCCTAGGGATTTTGCATACGTGGGTCATGATTAAGAAATCCCCCGACTGAGACTGTTTTTTCCTTACTCTCCATCTCTTCCAGTGTTTGCATGTGTTCTCCTTTTCAAAATTTGTTGTCTGCTATGGAAAAGAGAGAGATCCGGCCATCCCCACCCAACACAGCTCTGCGGCCCTCCCCTGGTGGGAGCCGCCCAGGCCCCTAGCCACCTGCGTCTCTTTCTGGACTCCACCTGTGACATTGCTCAGTCTGTCCATCCTTTCTGAAGGACCAGCGTATCCAATACCCTGCCTTGTACTTCATTCGGATATTTGGTAAAGCTAGTGTCCCTCATTATACTTCAGTTCTAGAATTTCCCTGGAAATTCTCACACATTCATATTTTTTTCTTTCAATTAAACACTCTCTTCTCAAATTCCCCAAATTTTCCTGTTGTTATTTTGGTTGGAATTTCATGGATTTCCGGTTAAAATTGAGCGAACTCTGACATCTTTCCAAAAGGAATTTTTCCTTTCAAAGATCAAAGATCGTCTGGCCACAAATTCAAGACTTTTTTTTGTCTTCTTCTTCTTTCTTTTGTCCTGGAGTTCAAACCCCCGGCCTTGCGCAAGTTAGGCAAGCACTCTGCGCTAGCTACCTCTCCGCCCATCTGCCTTTCTTTTCTTTTTTTTAAATCAAACCCAGGGGCGCTTAACCACTGAGCCACGTCCACAGCCCCTTTTTGTGTTTTATATAGAGACGGGTCTCACTGAGTTGCTTAGGGCCTTGCTACATTTCTGAGGCTGGCTTTGGACTTGCGATGCTCCTACCTCAGCCTCCAAGCTGCTGGGATCACAGACGTGGCCCCCCTGCCCAGCTCCGCCTTCCTTATTTCCACAGGATTCTAAAGCTGTCTACATTTACATCCTCCCCATTTCTTGGACCTTTGCAGCTGATACTTTGTTATTGTAGTCACCTTGGTCAGTGGGATCTTCCCACCCGTTAGAAGTGAGGTCACATCCATTTGGCCAGGTCCAAGCTGGATCCGGAGGCTGGGGAGGCCTGAGGAATGTGCCTGGGGAGGCCTGAGGAATGTGCCTGAGGATTCTGCTTCTGCGAATCCTCAGGTGTCCCATGTCTGCCCTCCAGCGTTGCTATCCGGCTGGGCCCTGGCTGAACACCAAGTCGGCTGCGGTTCTCAGGGAGCACCTCTGTCAGGAGAGCCAGGTTACAAAGGCAAGAGTTAAAGTTGCGTGGACAGGGGAGGCTGCCCGCCAGGTGCAGGGTGGTGGCTAGCCCACCAGGGTTTGCCCTGAAGGCTCAGGTGGTAGAGGATGGCGGAGGGCCTTTAAGAGGCAGGACCTAGTGGGGGGGTCCCTGGGACAGCCTGGGCATGCCCCAGGGAGAGCAGCCATTCCTCCTGGGCCCCTATTGAACAATGCCATCTCTTCCTCCCTCCCACAGTGGCTCCTACTATTGCCATCTGCAATGGGACGCAGACTAGGAGAGCAGGTGGCCCTCACACTCCTTGGACTTCAGCCTCCAAAATCCATGAGCTACATAGGCCTCTTTTTCTTAGAAACTTCGCATGCCTTTGGTGTTTTGTTATAGCAATGAAAGCACAATCACAAGACCCAAAATACAGCGTCTGGGGTGAATTAGAAATAACTATGTAGGGGTGGTTGGTGGTCCAGGAAGGAAGGAGACCCTACTCCATGTGGTGGCCCCAAAACCAGCCCCCGGCTGTCTCACTACTCCACCCTGCCCAGGGTCAGAGCAGTTCCACCTGCCCCCGTCCACTCTCCTGCTGAAAGCAGATAGGAAAGAGAAGGGGACACAGCACGGTCCCCATCACTCGACCTTGAGGCTGTACCTGGCTCCAAGGAAGATGGGGCCCACCCCTTCAGCGGTGGCCACACGCCCCTCTGACACTCCAGCTCTGGAATTGAAGTGGGGGGGCCTCTGGCCGTTAGAGATGGTCCCAGTTCTCCCAGCCTCCCTCTCAGGCTCCCCTCCAAGCTTATGCTGTGGATGCGAATTTCAGATTGGAGAATCAGGCTCGGCAGCAGTTCCGGCTCTGTTCTGTGTAATTCCTGAGAAATCAAGAACTGAAATCGCAGTTTCCCGGCGTGAAGCTGAAGAGAGGAACCGAGTTCTCACTGAAGCAGCCCAAAACAAGAACAGAGCTCAGGCCCTCCCCGTGGGGAGGCCCTGGGCTCAGCCCCAGCCCTGAGGGAAAGCAAACTTAAAACAAAGGCCTTTCCAATCTGGACAGAGGGTGAGGCCGGTGAGAGGAGGCCTGGCCTGGCAGTCGGGCAGACTTCTTAACAAAACCCCTTCTGTGGGGCTGGGGCTGGGTGGTGGAGGTGAGACTCTGGGTCCTCAGCACCACATAAAAATGAATAAACTCAAGGTACCGTATCCATCTACAACTAAAAAAAACCTTCCTTCAGCGATGTCTTTCAGTATCTGTGAGTTCTTCGATGTTCTCCATACAAAGGAGGAGCCTCAGTGGAGGCAAGAGACCACCTGCAGGCGGGTGGGAGGAAACCCCTGCGTCACCATCCCCGAGGGGCTGACATCCTGAACATGTAAAGAGCCTGTGTGACCCAACAACACCACGGCCTGGCCAAGCTGCAGAGGATCCGAGGAGACTTTTACCAAAATGATACGAAGAATGGCTGAGGATCGAGCTAGGACTCGGGGCTCACCCCTGACCACCAGGCAAGTCCAACGGAGACCCTGGCCGCGTCCCCTCCACCCTCTGGATGTGCTGCTGTCAGAGCCACAGAGAACAGCCAGTGTCCCCCAACCCTGCAAAGGTGTGGAGACCTGGGATCCTGTGCCCCAAAGCAGGAACGGAGTGGTGCCACCACGTGGAGTCAACAAGAATTATGTTCCAGCTGGTGGGGTGGCCATGCCTGTAATCCCAGCACCTCAGGAGGCTGAGGCAGGAGAATGGCTAGTCCAAAGCCAGCCTCTGCAACTTAGCAAGGCCCTAAGCAACTCAGTAAGACCCCCGTCTCTAAATAAAGTACAAAGTAGGGCTGGGGATGGGGCTTGATAGTGAATGCCCTTGAGTTCAATCCCCAGGACTGAAAGGGAGGGAGGAGGAGGGAGGGAAGGAGGAGGGAGGAGGAGGGAGGGAAGGAGGAGGGAGGAGGGAGGGAAGGGGGAGGGGGGAGGGAGGAGAGAGAAGGGAAGGAGGAGGGAGGAGAGAGAGGGGAAGGAGGAGGAAGGGAGGAGGGAGGGAAGGAGGGAGGGAAGGAGAGAGGGAGGAGGGAGGGAAGGAGGGAGGGAAGGAGAGAGGGAGGAGGGAGGAGGGAGGAGAGAGGGGGAAAGGAGGAGGGAGGAAGAGAAGGAGGGAGGAGGGAGGAAGGGAGGGAGAAGGGAGGGAGAAGGGAGAGAGGGAATTATTTGCTGACCCAGCTATTTCACTTCCGAGCACCTGGTCATCCCTCAGTAGCAGCAGGGACTTGGTTCCATTCTGGTCCCCAACAAGTCCCTCGATGGAATGGTGACGCTCACACGGACCCTCTTGCAACCTCCATCAACTTCATCCATGCCTGGTAATTGTCCATGACCCCCACACAGCGCGACCACTACTTGCGCAGCCCAGCGCAGAGCTGCTCGGGGAGCAGGCCAAGAAAGAGGGGAGCAGGCAGGGAGCAGGCAGGGAGCAGGCCAGCCATGCGTAGCACAGATGCCATGTTTTTCAAGCACCTTTCAATCTGAGATCAGCAGTACCCCAGGACCGCAGCTCTGAGGATGACTCTACATCCAAAGGAACTGAAGGCAAGATCTCAAGACACATGTCCACGCGCACTCACACAAGCCAAGACGTGGAGCCAGCCCGTGTCCCCAGCCCATGAGGGCACACCAAGTCCAGCTCCCCACATAGCGGAACATGGGACCTGAAGAGGGAAGGACACCTCGCCTGGCTGCGACACGGATGATCCGTGCTTTGAGAAGATCGTGTGAAGCCAAACGGGCCGGTCATAGCACAGCACAGAGCGAGAGGTGCTCCATCCCCCAGAAACAGGAAGTGCGAGGGTGCCCCTGGCCGCTTGGAGGAACCCACTCCAGGGAGTTAGGACGCGGGCGTCTCTGGGGGGCAGGACCCAGCCTACCACAGAGACCCCTTGATGGAGTAATATCTGAGCCAAAATGAAGTGATGGAGAAGTCACCTTTGAAAGCAGAGTTCTGGGTAGTGGCACAGCAGGTGCAAAGGGCCAGAGGCAGGAGCTGGCTGGGCAGGGTGGAGGAGACTGTGCGACGGAGCGGACAGGCAGGTGGGCAGAGGTGGGCAGGTGCCGGGCAGCAAGGTTTCGTTCTTGGTTCTGCTTAGGCACAATAATGCGTTGAACAAACAGAATGACAGACACCACCGTCTTGGCCACTTCGGAGGTGGCTTTGACACAGGCCAGGGGCAGGGGAAGGGGTCTGGAGGGCCTGATCCGACTGGGCCAGGAAGCCAGTTTCACTTGTGTGCATGCAGGGCTTCAAGGAGGCAGGGCAGGAGTCGGGTGGCCAGGGCTGGGGGTGCGGCTCAGCGACAGAGCTCGCCTAGCACCCTGAGGCCTGGGGGTCGAGCCCGGCCAAAAGAAAAAAAAAGAATCAGGTCATCATTTTAAAGGAACCTCTGGATGCTTTGTGAAGACTGCAGGTTTCACATACAAGTGGGAATCATATAAGCCGAGGTCTACTCTCAAAACCAAAAAGGGCCCGGGCTGGCTCGGCAGCACACACCCATAGTGCCAGGTGCTCGGAGGCAGAGGCAGGAGGATCTCAACCTCAAGGCCAGCCTTAGCTATTTGGCAAGATCCTGTCTCAAAATAAAAATTAAAAAGGGAGGGGAAGACCACAGTTTGCACCCCTCAGTCAGTCAGTCCAACACGGCCACCATATGGTCAGGCAGTCTCACCCCAGGGATGTACCTGCTCTCTGGTGAACCCTGCACCCTGGGCCTGAAGCAGCGTTGTTCGGGAGCCAAAACAAAAACAGCCCATGCATTAAATGCATCACTTTAACCAGTAAATACGCATTTTGGAAACAGCTCAAATGTCAGTCAGAGCTGCGTGGACCAAGCACAGCCCATCTTTACAAAGGAATATGATTCAGCCATGAAAAAGGAGTGGTGGTCACACAGACACAGGCTCCAGTACAGATGAACCCCCACATCGTGATTCCAGACACCCTGAGTCCAGATCTGGGGTGAAATGTTCAGGACAGGCAAATCCACAAGGACACGGAGCAGCTGGTGGCCCACAGGGCTTGGGAGAGGGGAGAAGGGGTCCTAGGGTTAGGAGGAGGGTCTGCAGCTGGACGGCGGTGGAGCCCCACACTGTGAACGCCGCTGTGCTCACCAAGCATCATTAACATGGTGGACCTCATGCTTGTGTATTTGACCTCAGTTGGAAAAAGAGAAAAAGATGGAGGAGGAGGCGGAGGGCAGCCAGGAGAGGGTGCCCAGCGCTGGTCCTTGCTGGCTCCCCAGAGCACTCAGCTAAGCCGGCACATTGCTCCCCCTTGTGGCTGCTGAGGTTTGGTGGCCTCTTGGAGAGGCCCCAGGTGATGGGACACCCTTGTGCACTATCAGAAAGCAGTCACCGCCTCTCAACTCTAGGTGTTGTAACTTTCCCAGGACCCTTCCCGGCTGGGACACACCCCCGCACCCCGACTGCGTGCCCAGGAACGCTGGGTCCACTGGGACCCACGGCTCATCCTCTAGGCACCACTGAGCAATCTCCCCAATGGGAGACTGCGGCGGCTTCCTTCCCGCCTGTTCCAAGGACACCTTTCCTTGTCTCGCTGCTCACTATGATTCTCGCATGTGACCCCCTCCCAAGGGGATGGTCAGCACCTGCACATGGTTCTTCTCAAAGTCAAACTCTGCCCACCCAACACTAGCTCCCATCCCCCTCCTAGCTGGCCACCACCCTGCGCTGCTCCCGGGACCCTCTGTGACTCCTGTGGCACCCCCCACCCTCCATTATGACGCCGCGTTCTGCCTGGGTTGCTGTCCCCGAGGTCTGTCCCTGCTGTGGCCAGTGGCAGCCCTTCCAAGGTCGAGTGAGATTCCCTGAATGACAGGCCAAGGAGGGACAGCGTGTCATGTGTGCCCTTGGCTCAGGGACCAGTGCAGTTGTGACATGGTGATGGCACCTGTGAGGACATCAGCGCTGTCCCTGCGCACGAACCTGGACACCTCAGATCACGGCCGCGCAAATAAGGGCAAGAAAAGAGCCTCTTCCTGTTCCGTTGAGGGGATGAGCCGGATGCTCACTGTGTAACCGAGTCATCTAGAGAAACGTCCTGATGTTTTGTAAAGTGGGAGCCAGTTTGGGGTGCTCCAGGTCCAGTCCTGTCTGTCTGTCTGTCTGATCCAGCATAGCTAATAATTAGTGAGACGTGGTCCCACCCAGTGGCCCATGAGGCAATCGCTGACAACACTAGACGCCCTTCTGCAGGGCAAAGTCCCTGCTTCTCAGGTGGAGGTGACTTTGCCAAGTGGCATAATTAGAGAGTTCCTGGTAGCATCAGAGGGCACTTAAGATAACTTCCAGTGTCCACCATCATGAGATCCCATTATGCAGATAAGGAAGGCCGAAGTCTGAGGCGCTCCCGTGTGGGCCAGGGCGTGGGGACACGGGCATCGGCCACGACTGCTGGTAGAGGGGGACGGTCCGGCCTCTTGCGGAGAGAATTTGGCAAAGGCTGACTGAATTTAAATGCCTCTGGCCTTTGACCCCTGCTGCGGGTTCACTTCAAGAAGTTTATCTTGAAGGCCAGGCGCATACCTGTCCCAACTGCATTTGCAGAGAATCACTGGAGCCCTGGGTTCAAGGTCACCTGGGCAACAGAGAGAGACAAAAAACAACAAAAAAAAGATCCACCTGGAGAGGAGTCCACAGGGCTGTGGTGGGGCTCAGGCGAGGAGGCCCGCCCAGGAGGCCCTGGGCTCAGTCCCCAGTACCAGGAAAAGAAAAAAAAAAAGCATCTTGCACTGATTTGAGCAGCAAAATATCACAAGTAGCCTGAATATCCAGCTGTGAGGGTCACTTGACTAAGGTGCATCTGTCCACCAGCACTGTCCACAGAACCTCCCGCCACCATGGAAATGGCCGGTGCCTGCACAGACCAGAGAGGAGCCCCCGCCACCAGCTCT